TTTACATAAAAAATCTAAGCCTTAGCTTAGGCCTGCTCGAAGAAAAAAACTAGGGCCAATCTCCACACACAGGATAACACTCCCGTCATTTGCGTGCGATGATAACGTTTCGCAAACACCGGTAGACTAAGCGACTAAGCGCTATTATGATTGGTCGGGAAGGGGTGTGAATTAAAAAAATAAATAGATCTAGATCTAGATCTAGTCTAGATTTTTAAAATGCAATTTTTCACGTAACATAATGATAATAAAAAATAATTATTCAAAGGTCCACCGATCGTAAACTATGAACACAGTCGTATGAGCTTAATTAGACTTTAACATGTTTGAATAATAATTCGTATGGCCCCAGGATGTGGGCCCCTCTGACCACTCCCAACTGTGGATGACACACACACACACACACACACACACACACACACACACACATACACACGCACACTACAGGTAGTAGTAGCCTTGTAGTATTTTGTCGCTGTCACAAGTGGAACTCTACCCGGTGCCGAGTAATTTTTGTTCCCCATTGAAATACGTCGCGCGATTTCTTCGTCGATTGGAAAACCGGACAGGTGATTGTACCAGTACGTCACGTATCATTTAAAAAATAATTAAGTAGTAAATAGTAGAACATACAGTCAGCAGCACAGAATTTTGAGCATTTTGAAGTCATTTACTAAATTAACACTCTTGAGGGAATTAAAACAAATAAGAGATTAATTTCTCCGCTCTGGTGAATTATTTCATTAAGTAATTGATCAACGTCGTACTTTATATAGCTTACAACTTTCAACGAGTGTTGTAGGTCTTTGATCCATATAACATTTTCCCCTCTATTTTTGCCATGAAGCACGATTGTCATCAGGTCCGTTTTTTATGTTTCCATTCGTGTGTCCCAGATATTTGCGCTTCCTTTTTTTGATCATAGAAAACACACTACACTGTGTATCAAGTTCTTTCAAGGCATTTTCATTTGTTCTTTTACAAGAAAAGTTGACACAAAGCAGCGTTCGATAAAATCACATTACTTTTGCTTGGTTCTGCTTATATGTCTTCCCTTTTTTTTAAATACCTAGGCCTCACACTCATACATAACTAATGGCCCTAACTTTGAGACTCTTGGTACTCACTGTCTTTCCATAATATTACAATGCTGTTTGGTTGCATTGTCTTGTGTTTTGCTATTGCCTGTTCTGCATCTTACATCTTTAGTACACATCCCATCCGCTGTTTTCGTTTATCCTAACTGTTTGAAGTCGTACATTTCCCAGCTTTCTTCCATTTATTTTTGTCTGTTGGAAATTTTAACTTCCCATTCTTGTAATGTGTATGATTTGTGGCGTCGGTGGCCTAGTGGTTAGGCTCTCGGACTCGCAACCGTAAGGTCGTGGGTTCGAATCCCGTCAGGGACCCGACGTTGTGTCCTTGGGAAAGGCACTTTACACGAATTTTCCTCACTTCACCCAGGTGGGAATGGGTACCCGGCTATAGACAGCGAAAGATCTTGTCAGTTTGTTAGTGTTTGAGCGCTTAATCGGCTGCTTGCACTGTATGCTTCCCGGGAAGCTGAAAATGTTTCGGAGTGTTCTATGGTCTGCTGGGGTAATAATATAGTGTAAAGCGCATAGAGCCTGCTGTTGAGCGGGGATATTATGCGCTATAATGCTATCTATTATTATTATTATTATTATTATTATTATTATTATTATTATTATTATTATTATTATTTTTATTATTATTATTATTAATATTATTATTATTATTATTATTATTATTATTATTTTGTTTGTTCATTTTTGTTTTTGTGTCGTAAGATCTCTTTTCGTTCTCGTGATATGATGCATGGAAAGGTTGGGGAAACACACAAAAAAAAGAAGAAGCCAATAACTAAGTTGGTTCGTGTGCGTTTTGACTTGCAACCGTTTGGTAGTGGAAAAATAAATAAAGGATGTAATGAGTGAGCACCGTTGACCGTGGGCTAATCAGGGCAAAATAAAAAGTATGACTGTATACATAAATTACAGTGCAGTTGAGGACAGTTTCAGTAAAATGAGTTCAATCCCCCAAAATGTAATCATGTGTCAATTACAAACAAAATAGGAGTGTTTTTACGGTTCTATGTTCTACATGTTTATGGCTGTGAATGCTGGACAATCACCAAGGACGCTGGAAACCAAATAGAAGCAACAAAATTGTGCTGTTTTAGTAAGAATTCAATGTCATTTGCAACACTATAAGGTCATATAAGACATAAGTGCTGAAGATTAGAGGTGTTACAAGAGAGTAACAAATTAAAAAAAAAAGAAAGAGGGAAGATTAGGACGATAGATAGTTAATAGAAAAGATGGAACAAACCACACCAGAGCACCCGCCAACCACCCTCCTTGGTTTCTTAGAAGACTGTTGAGAATTTCTTGGAAGGAAAAGAAATCTAATGAGGTTGTACTTGAAGAATTCCACGTGGGCTACTCGATGATGAAAACACTAGGGAAGAAACATATTCAAATTCTGGGATACTGAAGTAAACATACAGACCTCGAACATGCTGCTTTCACTTGTAAAATTGAAAGCAAATGGCGGCAAGGGTAGGCCCAGAGCAACTTACTTGTAAAAAGCCTAAACTGATGGGTCACGGGAAAAGATAAGGAAATATAGTTGGGTTTTTTTGGTGAGCATCCGAACAGAAAAAAGAATGGGGCACCATGATGGCCGACGTCGGTCACAGATCTAGCTCTTGATGATGACGACATATTCATTATAACAACAATATGTGTCATGCGAGGACTGGACAGATTCCTTGTGTGTAAATGCGTGAGTGTGTGTGTGTGTGTGTGTGTGTGTGTGTGTGTGTGTGTGTCTTTGTTTTCGAAAATGGCACTGTAATGCGATCCACTGAGACAATGTATAATACTATTTGGGGTGCAGAAAAATCGTCAACACCGTTATCTAAGTTTGAGAAAGTAGGTCGAGCTCTGGTCGTAAAGGCTGTCGGGATATCACACGGAAGTAAATGAAACGCTAAACATGGCGGATTGTTAGTGTAAACTTGGGAACCCACAATGAATATTATTGTGCTTTTTTCTTGAATTTTCGTTTATATTGTGTAAAGGAATAGCATCAAATATACGCAAGATGACTTCATCAGCGAGTTTGCTAAATATTTCATTGATTATTTTATCAGGTAAGTAATTACAAATGAGCACCTGGAACGAACTTAACGAGTTTTGTTAAGAGTTCTGATTCATTCGGACTCTCGGGAAGTTCCGAGTCGCCTGTCTGTATCAGTTCCTCATCCTGTAAATTGCAGTCTTGAGTCCGTAAACTATTATTTTCAGTCTTAAAATTACAGCCTCCTCCCCAACCATTGACCTTTCTTTTTATGTGTAATGGGCAAGGTATATTCTACAGTAGTAGTCTTCCTCCTCGAACTCGAGCCGAGGAGAAATTCCGAACGATCTGCCGTAATAATTTCTCCTCTTTGGACAAAGTTTCGAGTTCAGGAAGTGGGCAGCTTGGGCTTGGCACTCCTGTACAATTGCGGTCCCTTGCTGTATATCCAAGGAGATTAAAAGTAATGGAGGATTTGGTTTTCCCCCAAATCGACAATGGTAAGCCTCGACAATAGTCGCCTTCCACCTTAGAGAGCTGGCCCGCCCGTTGGCGATTTTAGACGCCTCATAGGCTCTGCGGAGTGAGAGAGGGAGGTGAGTTTTGTCTCTTGGAGCCCTCAGTGACAGGGGTCCTATGATGCCCGAAATGAAAAAAAGAGTGAGAATAGTGGGCTGTCGTTATTCTCACTCGGGGTGAGAATATAGATCTAGATCCTAGATCTAGTTAGTATCAATTTTATTCTCAGCCTGGGTGAGAATAATATCCAGTTTATCCTGACCCCAGGCCCAGGTGAGAATAATCACTCTGAATTAAAAAGCGAAGTGACTATTTCTCCGAACGCTTGGGAAAATAAACTTGACATCTAGATCTAGATCTAAAATCTAAATCTAGGTCTAGATCTAGATTCTAGATCTATTTCTCTGAACGATTTCGGTTCTCGAGATTTTTAGGTTATATATATTTGCAAGATTTCGGCGTCCTCTTTCATTCTGCCATTCTGCGAGGACCGGGGAAGCAATTTTTGCTTCGAATTCAATTTCTAGAGCTAGAAATCGAGATCTCTAGAGATTTTTAGATGTTTTGAATATTAATTTTTTTTTTACTAACAAGTTTTTGAATAAATTAGAATTCAAATTTCAGAAAACGCTTTTTTAAAATGAAGTGATTATTTCTCCTAACGTTCGGAGAAATAGTGCTGATCTTTATTTCTCCGAACGGTTTCCGGCTTCGGATCTCGTGATTTTTTGCCTATTTATTGCAAGAGTTCGGCGCCAACTTTCATTCTGCCTCTGGTCTGGGAACTGGGAAGGAACACCGCATGGCAAGCCCGCCTACAGACAACCTTCTGTAACACCCACCACACACCCACCACCATCTTGCACATGTACACACACAAACTTATACACACACTAACTAAACATGATCAGTGGGAAACTTTTGAACGTATGACGAGCTGAGCTGTGGATGGAGAGACTGTGTGAGTGACAGAGCAGGTGAAAGGAAGAATGTACGAGTACAAGTGTATCCACAGGCGACAGCAACTACAAGGGAATGACACCGACCCCCCTGGCCTGGTCCACAGGGCAGCTCACGAACGAAAGGAATGCGGCTAAGGCAGTGTTTTGCTAATATTGTTCATCATGGTTTGCAGGGTGGCAAGGGAATGAGTGAGATTTTCTTTGTGTGTGCCTGGAGGGAGGTGTGGGGTGTGGAAGTCATGCGGACGGAGATGAGCCGCGAGAGAGAACACGGGAATTGAATGAATGAGTGAAACTGAAAGAGAGGAACGACTCATGAGCCCTGGAGTGAATGGATCCTGTATTTCTATTTTTGTATACTTTGAACTGTTACTGAATAAAGGCTGAAATAAAGTTTGAACTGTTACTGAATAAAGGCTGAAATAAAGCCCGAAAAACAAACACACACACACTCCTCTCTCCACTTACACACACACTACACACACACACACACACACACACACACACACACACACACACACACACACACACACACACACACACACAGGAGCAAATTTTTAGGTCTAGATCTATATATCTATTTCAATTTTCAAGAACTAGTCTAGAGATTTTTAGATGAGTGTAAAAACGTGAAAAAGAAAAGTTTCACAACCGAATGAAATCAAAATTAGAACAACCCATAAACAACCACAAAAATAAACAAATAAGGGTGTGAGTCCACCTGTCCGAAGAAGATTGGCTGTTTTAACTACTTAATGTGCGTAATTTTAAAACAAAGTACAGGATATTACATGTAAATTATGGAATCACACACATTAAGGGGCCTGCCAGTGTCAGTACATGTAATCGATTTTGGTGGAACGTACGCTTTAACATAACACATTTAAATCTATATATATACATATTTAGAATCTAATGAAGGTAGGACCATCAAATTAAATGAAGGGGGCTCTCGTGGCCTAGAGGTTAAGGTGTTGGCCTCTCATTCAAAGGTCCCGGGTTCGAATCCGGGTAGCGACCGAAAAATTTTCTTCTCTAAAATTATCTCCTTTCACCTCCTTTCCTGTTCTCTAACAATGTTCTGTTGTCTGCTTTCAATTCCACTTTCTGCCCCCACCCCCTCACCTCCTTTGCCCCCTCCTCTGGGCTCCTGACTCTTTCTGCAGCCTTTCTACTGCTACTTCTTGGCTCCTCCTTACTGCTGTCTTTCTGTCACACCCCTGATCTTGTGGTAGGAAAGATCTACACCTAGCCTTCTCGGACAAGGGCGAAAAATCTCGGAGGGCCCGTGTGCAAGTTGCGCACGTTAAAGATCCCTTGGTGGTCTAAAATCGATAAGAGTAGGCTTCGGCCGCCACCCGGGCAAAATTCAAAATTTCCTACCAACTGAAAATATTAGGTGTGTCCCGCGCGCTCATATGACCGTATGCAGTTGCGAGCGCCGTAAAACACTTTACAAAAACAAACAAACAAATTAAATGATGTTACACTATACAACATCCCCCCGGCCCCCCTTTTTTTCCCCAACAAAAAAAATTGATAGAACAACAACACATCAGAACAATAACAAGAGAGAAAAAAATACACACTAACAAAATAAAACACCACAAAGAGGAAAAAATAAAAGTAACTGTAACGTATTCAACAAATAAACGTGGTGACAACAAGTGAGAAAGAGACGAAGTGGAGCTTGGTGAACTCTCTTTCAAAAGTAAAGAGGTTCGGTTTCTTGAACTTTTTAAAATTATTTTTTTTATTTGACTTTTTTCACCCGATTCGGGGACCAACAAATGCCCAAAAATCGAGCCACGATTGATTGGTCGCGGCCGCGACAAACGCAGATGCTAGTTCTATGTGTCGTTATCAATAACCCTCCGTAGATCTAGATCTAGACAGCACACGAGTGAACACAACACATTAAGTTTAAGAGCAGCACCCTTCATAGGCATATCCAAAAACTGTTTGGAACTGTAGCATTTCTTTATATAAATATTTACTGCGGACATTTTTTGGACCGATTGAACCACATTGTATACGAACAATCTTTGGTAGGCCTATACTATAATTATAGATCTATATAATATTATAATATCCTAAATTTGCGGGAAAGGATGTGATTTCAGAGTGTTCGGAGAAATAGTGCCCAGCTTTATTTTCCCGAACGTTCAGAGAAATAGTGCCGGCCTTTTTAAAATGGTTACACTGACAAAAAATACCTTTTCCGGTGGAAGGGGCGACTGTTTTCTTAGTTTAATTTGACTTTCGAATGAGAGGCGAGAGATCTTTAAAATAAAAAACACCTAAAACTCCACACTGAACGAACCCCTACAGCTAATGAACAGTAGTCGATCTGCACACGCCAGAGGGTGCTTGTTGGAATGTGCTAAGTTTCCTTGCTATCCAACTACTCCCATTCAAAGTAGATATGTTCTTTTATGTGGCCATTGCACGAACAACAAAACACCGCTGTATATCTTTAATAAAGACCTTTAAATTGAGTCATAATCAAGACATTTGAGATTGCAGATGAGAATCTCATGAGAGTAAAGTCTAACAAGTTCAGTGGAAGACCTTTTTCTTCCCATATATATATATATGCAAAACTTTGGGATTTGCTTTTGAAAGCAATGTGTGTATTATATCATAAGATCAGAGAGTTGCAGAAAAGTCTATTTAAAGACACATTTTTGTTCAACACCTTAGCCAGTGATTTGGTAAATTTTGTGTGTGGGACAGGGAGTATTGTTAGCGTGTGTGTGTCTTGTAGTTTGTTGAATGGTCTCACAGCACATTTGTGCTTTTTGTGTCCTTTGATTACTGATTAAGTTGAACGATAATTCTGCATTGTACAGCGTTTAGAACCCTCTTGGTGCATGCTATTTAAATATTATAAAATGTGTCACGGTCACAGTAGGGTGGAATCCGGCACTTATCAGTTTTTGGTCATAGTATCATAAATATGTAACTTTTTGGTGTTCTCTTAAAGCTTGTTTATTTGCCGTGATTTTGGCGAAAAAATTACCCATCTGTCGTGAATAGAAGTCGTGATTTTTGCGATTGAAGAAGGTGGAGGTCGCCTGGTTTCAGAGGTAAACATGGGAGAGAAAATGGGCGCCAAAGTTTGGTGACTTTCATGGCTTCAGAGTCCTTGGAAACTGAAAATTTACATTTTTGTGCTTTTAATCAAGTTTTTCTGTGTAATCCACTCTGAAATGTGTATTTGAAGGGACATGAAAGGCAAAAGGTGTTGAGCAAAAAAAAAAAGAAAATTTATTCAGAAAAATATTGCCCAACGGCTAGAAAAATGCCAGTTTCTTTGATTTCATTATTTTGATGAGCGCTTGATTTCACCACAATGCCTCACAAACTATTATTATCTTTATCATGCACCGACTGATCATTGTGCAACCTGCTTATATATGTCAGTGAGTGAAGTACTACAGTTGCAAGTTAAGTTAGTGGAGTAATGAACTCTGCTCGGTGCATCAACATTTTACAGTAAAAGTTTTACTTTGTGTCAGCAGGGAAAAGAAACAACTTGAAAATGTCTCGACTTCTACTTCTATTATTCAAGATAAACCTGTGTCTTTTTCATCAAAAGCAAGACAGAAGAATGAGATGAAATCAAATACTCTATGCGCCCCAAAAATGATGAGTGCCTGATTCCATCGTGTGGTGACACTTATTTCTATTTAAAGTCTCTTTTCCACTCCTGTATTCAGGTCTATCTATCATAGTCGATATATGTTTTAGTTGATTTTTTTCCTTGTGGTGTATTGCCTTGTTATATTTGCAAAAAACTCTACAGGTTCAGATGGTTTTTAAATTCGTTGTAACTTTTATCTTTTCAGTTGTTACCTGCCTAGCTTCTACCCAAATGACTGTGAGCACTGTGGTGTCTGACGCTGAACTTGGACAGTGGTTTACCGTTCAGTGTCAGGTGTCTGGCAGCCTGGGGTTGGTTGTTATCATTCAAATCTCAAAGGACATCGGTTCAAACAAAACAACGCTGGTGAACCACATCATAAATGGTAATATTACTACTGATAAACCACCCACTCGTATATCTTACAACAGCGACACCTACACAGTGAATATTTCAAACGCCAATTGCCAAGATGAAATTGTTGGTGCTGAACGAGTGAAGTACGTCTGTGATTTGACGTATGTCACAACCGCCACGGCCACGGCAACCAGCAGTAAGGAGGTTACCATCAAAGGTAAAAGTTCTTTCAAGATTGTTCCTTCCACTTGTTCCTTCCACTTGTTCCTTCCACTTGTTCCTTCCACTTGTTCCTTCCACTTGTTCCTTCCACTTGTTCCTTCCACTTGTTCCTTCCACTTGTTCCTTCCACTTGTTCCTTCCACTTGTTCCTTCCACTTGTTCCTTCCACTTGTTCCTCTGTCGTTCTTTGCCTTTTCCCGTCTCTGGAAAGTGTAGGGACACACTGTTTTGTCCTCTAAGGTCATGCTTGGCTCTGATGTGGATGACCCTGGTTCGAATACCTAACGCTGCGGTCATTAGTTTGTGTTTTTTATGGGGTTTCAAGGCCCTCCATTGACTTAGTTTGGTCCCATGTTAGGCTGTAAAGGAGGCCTCCAGGCCCTCCATTGACTTAGTTTGGTCCCATGTTAGGCTGTAAGGGAGGCCTCAAGGCCCTCCATTGACTTGGCTTGGTCCCATGTTAGGCTGTAAGGGAGGCCTCAAGGCCCTCCATTGAATTAGTTTGGTCCCATCCTAGGCTGTAAGGGAGGCCTCAAGGCCCTCCATTGACTTAGTTTGGTCCCATGTTAGGCTGTAAGGGAGGCCTCAAGGCCCTCCATTGAATTAGTTTGGTCCCATGTTAGGCTGTAAGGGAGGCCTCAAGGCCCTCCATTGACTTGGCTTGGTCCCATTGTAGGCTTTAAGGGAGGCCTCAAGACCCTCCATTGACTTGGCTTGGTCCCATGTTAGGCTGTAAGGGAGGCTTCAAGGCCCTCCATTGACTTGGCTTGGTCCCATTGTAGGCTTTAAGGGAGGCCTCAAGGCCCTCCATTGACTTGGCTTGGTCCCATTGTAGGCTTTAAGGGAGGCCTCAAGACCCTCCATTGACTTGGCTTGGTCCCATCGTAGGCTTTAAGGGAGGCCTCAAGGCCCTCCATTGACTTGGCTTGGTCCCATCGTAGGCTGTAGTGTAAGAATCGGTGGTGGCGCTTCTGGGAAAGTAACCTTAGAGCTTTTAGAACTCTTTCAGTATCGCGAGCTGTGTTTCATGGCTCTCCACTTTCGGCTTGAACACCACTCCTATTTTTGTAATAATCAAATCTGAAACCTCAGGCTTCAGAATGATCGATTTTAGCAACATGTTGAGATAGGTCATTATTTTTTCTTTATTTCCGTGTATAATACATGTGGCTAGTATTGAAAATTGAACTTCTAAGATCTTTAATTTGTCCGACGGTAGGCAGAATCAGAAAGTAGGTCACAGATAGGGCCCGGTCACGGTGAGGAAACCCCCCCCCCCCCGGTAGTGAAAGAGTTAAAGGGCGGGAACCCGTATGTATTCACGTAATGAAATAAAGACCTACAATTGAAATTGTTATAAATATACACAAATGTGAGGCGTGCTGACAAAATGAGTTACTCTCACATTTAGAGCCTCATGGAAATTAATACATCAACTTTATAGGTGGAGTTTGTACAATTGTAAGTATGGAATAATAAAAGACACGGTAGACTTGAACAAAATGGCATCAATTGAAAATCTACTAATTTGACCCAAGTGCCGATTTTTGGCTAATATCTTCATTCTTGGATTGCAAGAAGTAACTCATTTTGTCAGCACGGTTCACAAATGTAAGATGGAAGTAGCTTGAATTTTAAACATTTTTATATATTGAAAGGAATAATTATAACACCTCCGGTGGTGGAAGGAAATAATACAACACTTGGACATTTCTACTTGTAACTGTACGGAATGTGTGACATTCACTTTGGTGTGTCCGCTGTTTAGGTTTAAATGTAAAAATAGGACCTAATGATGTTGGAAGAGGTGTAAAACTGTGACATAAAGTGCTGTTGGAGCTTCAATTCAAACACAGAAGAAGCGGTGTGTAGAAAAGCCTGCTCTGTTCCCAATGAACCCTACTTTGGGCCTGAATGCGCGCTTCGTAGCCCTTTAATGCGCTTCCATCCATTCTTTATCACTGAACACAGCATGGCTTACTCTTTGCTAGCATTTGTGGTGTAGCGTTCAGGTGCATCCATTCTTTATCACTGAACACAGCATGGCTTACTTTTTGCTGCTTGCGTTTGTGGTGTAGCGTTCAGGTGCTGCACCATCACACGCAAGAGGTGAAAGTTGAATTCCTGTTTTCTGTAAAAAAAAAATCGATTATCTCTGCATGTTTTTCTGGGACGTTTCATCATTTTACATCCCTTTCAGCCTGTGTTGGCCCGGACAAGCAGGGGGGTAGTATTGTAACCCATCTCTTAAATGATCTAAATTGTGTTGATAGGGGCGTGAATCTCTGACCCTATTGTATTGCAAGTGCAGTTGAAATCTTGCTGAAACTAATAGTAAAAGTAGACGTAGATATTGTTGTGGCGAATTGCTTTAAATTCCATCTTAATCTTAATGCAACTGGGATGATGTTTATAAAAACGATATTGCATGTGGACAATTAGAAGACGCCGTTATTTTTCTTTCCGTCTGCTGTTTTTGTTTGTCTCTGTCTGTCTGTCTGTCTGTCTGTCTGTCTGTCTGTCTATCCGTCTGTCTGTCTTTCTGTCTGCTGTTTTGTTTGTCTCTGTCAGTCTATCTGTCTGTCTGTCTGTCTGTCTGATCG